ATATTCATATATATGTAAATACATATATATATATACATGTGTGTACATATATATAAATATGCGTATGTACATATATATATGTATATATACATATATATGCATATATGTATATATACATATGTATATATGTATGTATGTATATATGTATACACACAGACACACAGACACACACACTCATACACACACAAAAACTCGCAATGTAATATGTTGTGTGACCGAGTTGCCGAGCGTGCAATTGTTTTCGAGGCACCTTCCCTGCTTCGAGAGCGCCCTGCCCGCCTGCGAGCCGTAGCTGCCGCCGAGATGGCTTCAGAGATGCAAGTTGACATTTAAAAACTAGGAAGAGCAATTAAAGGCGCCGCGGGCAACAAACAAATGACCGGCCGCTCGAGAGGCTCCCGCGCTTGACGCTGCCAACTGACCAGACCTTTTTGCGTGACGATTCCCTCCCTCCTCAGTCGCCTCTCTCCCGCCTCTCCTCTGCGCCACGCCAAATAGCCCACTCCTCTCTGAAGGCGCCCTCGGCCGTAGCACGACGGCCTACCACAGGAGTCGTCGCTGGCGTCCCCAGGAAGGCCTGCCGCGGAAGGCCGCAGAGATAAGTGCGGCAACACTGCGCGGCCTGCATGATGAAAGTTGGTTACGTCACAAACTGGCAGACCCACAGTCGTTCCGCGGCTATTATTTCCGCACTCCTCTACTTGTTTGATTTTCTCCGCCGCTACGCCCGGAGCTCGCAGCACGTACCGCAGCCGTGCACCGTGCACCGTACTCGCTCGTGCACCCGCCCACCGTACGCCAACTCGCCCTGCGGCAGAGGCGAGAGCACGGGGCGGCAAGAGCACCACGGGTTGGCATCATGGAACCCAAACAGGTTTTCCTGGATCATGCCCCGATGCCAAGCCTCTGCGCCGGACCGCCCGAGCCTACGCAGCACAGCGGCGGCGTCACAGCGCTCGCCGGCGACGACGACTCGCGAGTGACGCCGCTCGCTACGCAGGGTGGAAGAGTGGAGCTGCGCCGAGGTGGAGAGGAAGTGGGTGTGGTGACCCCTGACCCGGGCAACACGTGGCACCACCGCGGGGCAGGGCGGAGGGTGCTGCCTGTTCACTACTGTCAATTCCAAGAAGTCCTCGCTTCCAAGAAGTCTTTCTTGCGTACAAAGGTATTAACAGATTCTTAAAAAAGACATTTATTGCAGCTAATGAGCATCTTGAATAATGCTTCGCGTCAAAAGTCGCTGGTCTTCGGCCTTTGGAAGTGCTGCACAGCCTTGGTTTGCTGCACCGCGTGTAGGTACAGAGACACTTGCTGCTGCGCGGCCACAGCGAGACTGCTGAAGCGCTGCCCCGCTGGACTCCGGCTTCCCTCTACAACGTTTTTCTCCAAGGAAGGCCGTCCAGCGCACATGCTAGTGCACGTGAAGTATAACTGGACTTGCGTGTGTGCGCGTGAATACGTGTGAATGAGTAACCCAAATATAAAAATCTGAAAGTGTGTGTGCGCCTGAAGCGCGTAAGTCGCCCAATGCTGAGCTACGTGCGCGCGCGCGTGCGGCTGAACGGGTGCCTGGGTTCCCTCCCGCCGAGTCCGAGCGAGCATCTTACGTAAACGTGTCAAGTTGCCCACGCACTCAGGTCACGTGACCCCACCACACCCAGCCACACACCCGGGCCACGTGACTGCCAGACTCACTCATGTCACGAATTCAACCCAACAACTCGACTCACGTGACTCAACCACACAATGCAAGGGATTCAAGCTGATTCAACCATACACCCACCGCGAGCAACTCGACGTCATACTCATCGTCTGGCTCGACCGCACTCTTAACCCAAGCGCCAAATCGCGCCCTCACAGGACTGAACCACCACACGCCACGTGAATCAACTACAGAGGCATCACGTGACTTCTTACAAGCACCGCGTCACGTACCGCCGCTTTCGATGGTATACAACAAACAAAAGCAAAGCCTACGCTACGTTTAATTCAGAAGTGCTGAAACTACAGCAACCGATATGCTATCACCACCATCATTGCTACTGATTACCATCATCATTATGATGATCATTAACATTATCGCTATTATGATGACTAATATCTTGTATCCATTATGACCACTATCATTAAAACTACCACTATTCATACCATTAATTGTCGGTTCTAGAGAAAAAAAACTAGTTTGTCATTATCATTATTATGATACCATTAAAACTAATACCACTTTCACAATCAGCATGATCATTAGCATTGTCGCCACGAATACTAACAATGCTATCATCATCACGATTCAAAAACCATGACACCTGATAAAACGATAAAACCAGAGCCATAAACCGGACCCGAACGACGAACAAAATTCGAAATCACGGACTCCCTTGCCGAGAGTGAGCGAGGGAAAACATTCTATCAGACAGCATCATTATCGAAATCAGAAAAAAATCTATATAATAATGATAATAATGATAATCACAGTAACCGCCGTGATGATTATTGAAGATTGAGGATGATGCTAGAGATAACAATAAAACAACCCACAACATTAAAAAAAACACTAGCATTAACGAACAAATAAGAAAGCGAAAACGTCTCAGTGCTGCCGATGCAAGGAGCACAGAACTTAACTTCAATGTTAATAATATAAATGACATCGATAGTGGCGATGACGACGACGACGACGAAGTTATGATAACGATAATAGCGGTAATGATAGTGGTAGTGATAATGTAAATAATAACCGCATCAGTTATTCTGAGGTTCTGGAAGGCCAGATCTTTGTCATTACCGAAGTTCACACGAAAATGGTTGGAGACGAGGGCGGGCCCGGAGAGCGGAGAAGGGGGGGGGGGGGGGGTTCAAGAGGGTTGGCGGGGGGTCATAGGGACTGCTGGGAGGGGGGGGGGGTCAAGGGGGTTGGGCGAGAGGTGGTAGGTTTTCCTGATGCAATCGCTGGGTCGCAGGGAAATGCCCGGCAGTTAAGTGCAACGGAAATTGCAACTCCGCCGACTCTAAAGTGTTCGCCATTTTGCCTGTTGTAAGGTGAGGAGGGAAGGGGAAGGTGGGAAACAGACGAAGGGAGAGAGGGAGGGAGGGTAAGGAGCATTGGAGAGGGGAGGGAGGGAGGAAGGGTAAGGAGCACTGGAGAGGAGAGGAGAGGAGAGGAGAGAGAGAGAGAGAGAGAGAGAGAGAGAGAGAGAGAGAGAGAGAGAGAGAGAGAGAGAGAGAGAGAGAGAGAGGAGAGGAGAGGAGAGGAGAGGAGAGGAGAGGAGAGGAGAGGAGAGGAGAGGAGAGGAGAGGAGAGGAGAGGAGAGGAGAGGAGAGGAGAGGAGAGGAGAGAGAGAGAGGAGAGGAGAGGAGAGGAGAGGAGAGGAGAGGAGAGAACAGAGAGAGGAGAGAGATGAAAAAGGAGAGGAGATAGTGTGTGAGGAAGGGACGCCACTTGCATGTTTTCCTCCTCGTCTCCATTCCCTATGACGCAACGCAAGCAGGTTTCGGTTGGTCAGTCGAACACAAGTCAAAGTGCACTGCAAGATCATGCAAAGGGAAAGGGTGGGGATGGCGAGAAGGGCGCGCTTGGGTGGCCGGGCGGAAGGCAGGCGCGGCTGGTGACGGGCGGAGGGGCAAAGGAGGACTGCCCGAGGGGAGAAGAGGGAGAGGCAAAAGGAGAGAGGGAGACGGAGGAGACAGGCGTCCGTGCGCACAAGCGTTTGCGAGAGAAAGAGCGAGCAGAGTCAAGGGTTTTAGTTACATTATTTGTTTGTTTGTGACTGCCAGAGTGACTACGGATCACATGCTGTCCTTACTGAGGTTCCCTTGGCGCCAGCTTCTTGCTCGCCGCTGGCGTCTGGCTGCTGGTCACGTGACGTCGACGCCTGACTGGACGCCCCTCGACGGCGCTGTGGGGTACACGCCGAGGCGAGCTGCTGACAGGCTAGAGCAGCGCTGTACCTGCCCGTCCGAACAACATATGGCCGCCACATCAGCCTAAACATCACTTGGCTTGCATCGGTGATCTCTTCCCCCCTCTGTCCTGTCCCTCCCCTAGTACTGTGGCTGGTGTTATGAGCACGGGTGGCGAGCGCCGGGTTTCACTAGCCATGCACACACAAGCAAACTCCTTGGACTGTATGTTTGGCCTCCTGCGCGTTAATGCCTTTTGCTTGTTTGTGCTCCGCTCCGTCTCGGATCAGGTTCTCTGCCCATGTTGTGGTTCTGGGCTGCGCTTATGGCTGCCGCCGCTGCCCGGACTGCGTATGGGGGACTCGCTGCTTGGACCGCTTGCTGACAGGCTGACTTCGCAAGCGGAATACTGAGCAGTGGGACTGGACGGAGTCACAAAGACAGGTTGACTTCACAAGAGGGACGGGCTAACTTCAGTTGACATCAAGATGACTTCCTATTACACTTGCCTGACTTGAAATTCGGATTTGGCTGACTTCAAACACGGTTTAATACGCCTGAGGTTGAGCGGGTGAGCTGGGTGCATGGCTGAGTTCGTGTTGAGTTCGTAGCTGGCTCTCTGGTTCCTCTCACAGAAAGGGATTGGGATCAATTCTTGAATGTTGGAGTTCTCCAACAACAGCTCCAAAACACGTGCACTTGTAGCCTAGTCAATATAACAGTGGATTTTGGCCCCTAGCTCCCAAGTCAACCTTAAAAGACCCTTCCAATCGAATGCAGAAGTCCGTCGCTACAGTCGTGCCCAATTTTCACTGTACGACTAAGCAAGCAATCACCTGCCTAATCCTCGTGGATAAACATGACCGATGTGAGACACACGATTCCGCGCCGTGCGGTTTCCCGAGGGAGAAAGCGTGAAAGGGGCGGAGGAGGAGGAGTGGGAGACGGAGGGGGAAGGGGGAGAGCTCAAAGGGAGGGGAAGGGAGAGGGAGGGGAGGGGAGGGGAGGAGAGGGGAGGGGAGGAGAGGAGAGGGGAGGGAGGGAGGAGAGGGGAGGGGAGGGGAGGGGAGGGGAGGGAGGGGAGGGGAGGGGAGGAGAGG